TCAAATCTTCCTGGAGTGCTCGAATGTCATCGTCAGAATGAATTCGACGGCCTATTTTGGTGTCATCGGCAAACTTGCCGATGTCGCTCTTTATGCCCTCATCTATGTCGTTTATGTAGATTGTGAACAGCAGGGGGCCCAACACTGACCCTGTGGAACACCGCTCGTAACGCTTCCCCACTCTGATTTCTCCCCATTTATGCAAACTCTCTGCTGCCTATTTGTCAACCATGCCTCTATCCAGGAAAAAATTTCTCCTCCTATTCCATGTGCTTTAATTTTCCTCAATAGTCTCTGATGTGGGACCCTGTCAAAAGCCTTACTGAAGTCCATATACACAATATCATATTCATTACCATGATCTACCTCCTCAAATACCTTAGTGAAAAAAGTTAATAAATTCGTAAGGCAGGAAACGCCCCTTTGTAAAACCATGCTGAGATTCGTTGATTAATTTATGCTTTTCAAGGTGGCTACGAACTGCCTCGGCAATTATTGATTCCATAAATTTTCCCACTATGGAGGTTAGGCTTATTGGTCTATAGTTCGAAGCTAAGGACCTGTCACCTGTTTTGAAAATAGGTATCACATTTGCCATTTTCCACTTATCTGGCACCATGCCCGTTTGTAGTGATATGTTGAAAAGATTAGCCAAAGGTGTGCTAAGCTCCTCTTTACATTCCTTTAGAACCCTTGCATACAGTTCATCAGCGCCTGGGGATTTGTTAGGTTTTAATTTATCTATTTGCCTAAGGACCATGTCACTTGTGACCCTAATCGTGCACAGTTTATTCTCGTCCTGTTCTACATAATTTATCATTACTGGAATATCGCTGGTATCCTCCTGTGTAAAAACTGAGAGGAAGTATGTGTTAAAAATTCTACACATTTCCTTATCACTGTCAGTAAGACTGACCCGAGGAACTTTTGAGTGGGCCTATCTTGTCCCTGATCTTACTTCTGTATACCTGAAAGATCCTTTTGGTGTAGTCTTCGATTCTCTTGCAACTTTAACCTCATAATCTCTTTTTGCTTTCCTAATTCCCTTTTTTATTTCTCTCTTTAACTGAATATATCGATTTCTTAATTGCCCCTCTCCTCTTTTGATTTGCCTATATATGCCTCTCTTTTGACCAATCAGATATTTTAATCTATTGTTCATCCATTTAGGATCATTTTTGTTTGATCTGATTTCCGTATTTGGAACATAATTTGACGAGCAGCTAGAACTATGCCCTGGAAAGCATCATATCGGCAACCATCACCACCTACCTGACCCTTAGTCAGGTCATTCCAGTTCAGCCCACCTAAGTAATTTTTTCAGTCCTATGAAATCAGCCAAGCGAAAGTCAGGGACGGAGACTTGATTGCCATTATTAGGGGAATTCCATGATATATTAAAACTGAGTGATTTGTGATCACTTTCCCAAGTTCATCATTAACCTCAAGATTATTAATTAGTGTTTCCCTACTGGCAAGAACCAAGTCAAGGAGGTTATTTCCCCTAGTAGGCTCTGTCACAAACTGTTTTAAAAAACAATCCTGGATCGTATCAAGAAAGTCACCTGACTCTAAATTTCCTGTCAAATTGCTCCAGTCAATCTGTCTATAGTTGAAATCTCCCATTAGCACAACATTTTCGTATGTAGATGCCTTACGAATTTCGTCCCAAAGAAGTTTACTGCACTCCCTATCAAGATTTGGGGGCCCTGTAAATCACACCCAAAATTAGTTTATCTCGGCCCTCGAGAAGCTGTAACCAAACAGATTCAGTGGCTGATGCTTCTAATTTAATATCTTGTCTAACACAACAATTTAAATTGTCTCTGACATACATCGCTACTCCACCACCTTTCCTGTTGACCCTGTCAGTGTGGAATAATTTATAGCCTTGTATGTGACATTCAGAGGGCATCTCTCTATCTTTCAGATTGAGCCAGGTCTCTGTTATAGCAATAATATCTATGTTTCCTGCACTTGCAATTAATCTTAGCTCATCTATCTTATTTCTTACACTCCTGCTATTAGTATAGTAAACCTTAAGGGAGCTAGTCCCTTGCTGCCCTCTGCTGTCCCCCTTTGTTTGCTGACCTGATCTATTGTCTTTATTTATAACTTCATGCTGAATGCCTTTTATACATTTACTGTTTCCAACCCTAGTGTTGCAACCTGCTTGTTTCCCACACACACCCATACCTCTATCTTTCATCAGTTTAAAATCATAGGCATTTCACCAATGGGCCTTCTCAATCGAGTCTGCAAGTGCTACCACCCCAGCCCAGAGAGATGTACACCATCCCTTGCATACATATCATGTTTGCCATAAAAGTTGTTCCAGTTGTCAATGAATGGGATTGCAAGTTCCTTGCAGTATCTGTCTAGCCAGCAATTTACACCAATTGCCCTAGACAACCATTCATTTCCTACTCCCCTTCTAGGCAAGATGCTACATATGATTGGGATCCCTCCCTTAGACTTAATGAAATCTATAGCTGACCTGTACTTATCTAGCAGCTCTTCTCTCCTACCCTTCCCAATATCATTTCCACCAGCAACTGAGACAGATAATGGGCTTGTTCCCATTACCTGACATGATATTATCCAGCCTGTTGACTATGTCCCCAACACCAGCTCCAGGGAAGCACACTCTATCTCTCATCTTCTTATTCCTATTACAAAAAGCACGGTCAATATATCTTACCTGAGAGTCACCAACAACAAGAATGCGCTTACCTCCATTAGCAGGGGCAGTAGTACCCTTACCTTCACTGGCCACTGAAGTACATTCATCCTGAAGAACAGAGAAGCGATTTCCTACCTTCAGATCTTCACTCTTAACTTTCCTTACTCTGATGCGCCTCCCATTACTGTGAACCACTCGCCACTTGTAGCAGGTGCTGGGCTGCACCTCACTGCTGGTAGCCGTTGCTACCTCCCCAACTACAGCCTCCTCACAGTGAGAGACAGGCTGCACCTCACTGCTAGAAGCCTCATTCCCCACAACTCCAGCCACCTCACACTCTCTCCCAGACCCATTGAGGTGGACCTTCAGCCTCCTAATCTCCTCCTGGAGAAGCAAGACCTCCTCCTTCAACTCTCCAACCTCAATTTTTAAAACACTGCAGAAGCAAGCCATGCTTTGTAACCGTCCACGCTAATCCCCAAAGCAGCTCAGGGTCTGTGACCTCACGTGACGACTGACCACTGAACAATGTACAGCTATGTATAAGTTCCTCCAGCAAGAAGTATGGTACAACCAATGGCACTATAGTAAGAGTGATGTAAGATGTGTACCAACAAGTATAGAAACGAAAATTGAAGCAGAAGATTCGAGCATCTTACTTTGAAAACTGAGATTGTGACACTTGTGGAAGAATAACCATGAGCTCTGATGAGGAGCGAACATCAGTGAACAACGTAGTGTTCTGGAACACTTGGGCCAACCTGAGTGAACCGTAATGAGATAATGAACCCAGAAGGCTGGAGATCTTGAAGATACAAGGGAATGTTGGGTCAACAGAGGAGAAGCACCTCCCTCGGAATATCAGTCACTCATACGTGGCTTTCATTCATACAATTAAAGTTAAACCAGAGTAGAATATGTCACACTGATTTATTTTCCAAAAGTCTGGGGTTGTAAAAAATACTCAGTCGTTACCGTCACAAGAAATGGTTCACTTCCTCGATTAATTGGAGAGACTTTAAGACTGGTGAGAGATAAGAAAACAACTTCTCGTTAAAACTATGTACCACAATATAAACAACACGTAAGAGCCTAAGAAAAATAGATAAACACAGTAAGTACGCAGGGGAAAGTAGGCAGCCCTGGAGTCAGCATTACTCTGAAACAAGCACTTCAACATTCAAAAGATCCACATTACAATTATACTCACATACAATCAAAATTATGTACAAATAAGTGAAATTTTACCTTCACACTAACTCAACACATGTGTGATATGCCTAGAAAGTGACATACATTCACTCAGACATACTTCTGATAAATAGGCATATAAACACTTCAAAGTATAGTAAAGGATGACATGTAGAGTAACACACAAATTAATATTTATTCAGTATAACTGCAATATAGTATTTAAATATATTAATGCTTGTGTTAATATTCTTATGATTTTCATAATTTTCATATTGTCTTTACAAGATGCAATTTTATCTAGTATACAAAAACGCATGTTATTGTTATTCTCTGCAGCAATGATAAGAGTAATTTTGATATGTTGATGCTCCTCTATGAAACCTGCTGCCCAGAGCTTGGCTCTAGATATTCTAAGTTGTGGTTATCAGTGCACTGTCACGGTCAGAGCACACTGTAATTACACTGACTAGCACTCTAATTGGGACTTCGCTGTGCAATTGGAACATTTGCATGTTCTCCTTAGGGTGTTTGATGGTCGCTATTGCCGTTCCGTGTGTGCTCTCGTTGTTCATGGTGTTGGCTACTGTTTCACATCGTTGTATTTATCCTGAATAGGCTATTTGCGGTGTCGAGGATATTAGGATCGTGTGTGTTCATGAAAATGCACATATACATCAAGTATTTTCCCACAAAGCTCACGAAGTTAAAACAGCCATTAACGTGTAGATAAATTTGAAAATTACTTTAACTGACCTATATAACTTTATTACTAAATAGAGCACTGTAGTTTGTGGTTCAAAAAGTATTACTGAGGTGTTAACTATATAATGGTACGTATTTTCCCTTGACCAATATATTATTGTTAAGTAACGTGTTGATATTTAATATTTCTCCTTCCTGGATATATTTTATTTATGCCTTAATTGATAATTCCAAGAAAATTTCAGGTTCATATGCTTAATGGTAAAAAAAATATATAGATTCAGACATCAGCAGTTATTGTAAGACTTGCTTTCAGTTCTGTCATTGTGAATCGATCGTAGCACACTTAGCAATAACAGACGTATAATTTTCGTAATAGAAGTAAAAATGGAAGAATTATTTAGGAGTCTGGAGAATTTACCTGACACTCGTAGGTGCCATTGTCGCGGATGTGAGCATATTTAATCTGCAGCGTCCAATCGTCTGAGCCCTCGGTGTGAAGGACACTGAAGCGCATGTCGCTGGTGTAAGTGTAGATGCCGGTGGTGAGGATGTGCCAGTCCCATCGACGAATCCACGATACCTGCAGCAGCAGGAACGCCTGTAGGAGAAGGAAGGGAGAGCAAACCAATAATTACTCACAGCTTAAGATCTGAGCATGCTGTTGACATCCAAACTGTAGACTAACGCTTGGTGATGTTTTAGTTCGTGAAAAATTATTATAAAACCATTTTATTTCGCTTCATGAGAGATCACAGATCTCAATTGTTCCATCCACAGCATCATGACTTTTGAGGGAAGGAGGCTGAAGGATGGGACATTAATGTACTGCCTCGTGCGATTTTAATCTTGTAATAATATGGATAAAATTACCAACAATATGTCAGGTAAGAGGACAAAAGGGCAACTAATGCAACATTTTATTGTGGCATTAGTAGCACTTGTATCCTTTTACTTAGTTTAATCTTGTTTAAAATGAAAGTTATTTAAGAAAAAAAAATTAACAAGAAAATATTTATAATATAGTAGCTAAATTAATGGGAATTATATGTTTAATACGTATTTACTAAGGAATTAAAAAAATGCACCAGAATACAAGAAGCATGCATGTACATAATATCTACATAATCAAGAAACTGAAAACGGAAGATATATTTAATAATGGATTTCTTAAGGAGGCCATTTATAAAGTGATTGTATTAAAAACATAAGAACACAAGAAAGAAGAACTGCAGCAGGTCTATTGGCTCATGCTAGGCAAGTCCTAGTCACAGCCACTTAAGAAGGAAGGAGCACTGATGTAGGCCTACTGGCCCAAGCTAAACAGGTCCACTTCACAACCACTCATACCGCCAGTCCTGTCTTACATATTTTAGCACGTTATTTATTTTATTTTTTATTAACACATAGGCGTTTCCCACCGTTTCTACTACAGATTTATACACTAAGTCATTTTATTTTCTTCTGTCCTCTCTAAATGTCCGAATCTCCTCAACAACCCCTCCTCAGCCCTGTGGATAATAATTCTAGTAACTCCGCACCTCCTCCTAATTTCCAAACTACGGATTCTCTGCATTATATTCACACCGCACATTACAGGTTATTTATATCTCTATTCCTGTTTACAATTTATGCACCTCAGTCATACCCTCCTCCCTGTTTCTACCGATTTCTAGAGAATGTAGACTCAGTGCCCTCAGTCTAATCTCGTAGGAAAGGTTTCTGATACATGGGATCAACTCTTTCATCCTTCTCTCAACGTTAACAACGCATTTATTGCTTGGTTTTAAGATACAGTATGATGGATAAAATCCTTTTGTTTAATTAACTGTTAGAGATGAAATACATTTAGCGCTGGTGTCTGATGGGTAACACAGTTTGTGGTATAATCCCACATGGTGTCAACATTTCTTGTCTTGTTATTCACCTCCTCTTCCTCCACTTACCCTTGCTCATCTTACTCTTCTTCCTTCTCTTCCACAAAAACACTGTCTGAATGGATGTAATTTCCCAGGTCATGTGGATATTCACGCTGCTAGACTCCCCAAATACTCCAACATTGTTGACACTACTGAGAGTGTCGGCAGCAGCCTGCAAAACACTTACAGTCTACAGTGTTTATCTGGAGGGCATTCCTGGATGCCATTCCGGGGATCAACGCCCCCGCGGCCCGGTCCATGACCAGGCCTCCTAAAAATGTGTCAGGTGTCGCCGAAGCATAAATAACCAAAAAGGCACAATACCGTGACTGGAACGATACACAAATAACCCGGGTTATTGTGCATTGCGTGTCGCCGAAGCGACTGTGCCTTGACAGTATATGCGTTGTCCTTGCTTATCAAGAAGAGTGTTAACCTTCTCTCCTTTCGTACACGTACACGTGTGACCAACATCATGAGTAAACACAGCCTCATACCATTGATGGTGTTTCTCAAATACTTTAGTTCGTTGTGAGAGACATTGTAGTCCTGAGTGTAATTCATCAGGTCTCAAATAATGTAGTTCTGAATGTATTTTATCGTGGTTTAATTACGGTAGTTTATTTTGTGTTTCATACTTCAGTACTTCATATATTGTAGGTAGTTCTGTGATACATCATATGTCAAACATTGTAGAATCAAATGCACTTCATCATATCACAAACACTGTTATTCCGAGTGTGCTTCATTATTTATCCAACAGTGCAGCTCTGATTATGGTATAAACCTTGGTAATAAATACCGACAAGTTGGTTTAGAAAGACACGTAAGCAAACGCTATAACATATTTATTAGAAAACGTTTCGGTCCTGGGACCTTGATCACTGGGAAGTGATCAAGGTCCCAGGACCGAAACGTTTTCTAATAAATATGTTATAGTGTTTGCTTACGTGTCTTTCTAAACCAGCTCTGATTATAACTCGTTTTTTGACTGTGCATTCATCATACCCTGAGCATTGTAACTTATCTTGCTCTTTATTTATCTCATTCATCATATTTCATAAATTCTGTTCTAGTTCTGAGTGTAATTTATCGTGTCTCAAACACGATAGTTTTGACGGTACTTCATTTTATTATAAACATTGTTGAACATTAAAATGGTATAAAATACCGGCAGGTTGTTAGGTAAGACACATATGCAACAGTTAGGTATCTTTATTTCGAAACGTTTCGCCTACACAGTAGGCTTCTTCACTCGAGTACAGAAAAGTTGATAGAAGCAGAAGATACTTGAAGACGATGTAATCAGTCCATCACCCTTAAAGTTTTGAGGTGGTCAGTCCCTCAGTCTGGAGAAGAGCATTGTTCCATAGTATGAAACAATATGGAGATGAAGTGACAGGATGGAGCCTTATATAGCGCCAGGAGGTGAGACGTAGGTCACTAGTAGAAGTAAGAACGCAGATGTTGGGAGGTCAGGTCCCTCTTAAATCCAGCCGTTCTCACTAGTAGAGGTTGTCGAAGTTGATTGCAGGTCTGTACCAAGATACCCTTGTGTTGCAGTGTCTGACAGATTGAACGTTAAAATGGTATAAAATACCGACAGGTTGTTAGGTAAGACACATATGCAACAGTTAGGTATCTTTATTTCGAAACGTTTCGCCTACACAGTAGGCTTCTTCAGTCGAGTACAGAAAAGTTGATAGAAGCAGAAGAGACTTAAAGTTTTGAGGTGGTCAGTCCCTCAGTCTGGAGAAGAGCATTGTTCCATAGTCTGAAACAATATGGAGTTGAAGTGACAGGATGGAGCCTTATATAGCGCCAGGAGGTGAGACGTAGGTCACTAGTAGAAGTAAGAACGCAGATGTTGGGAGGTCAGGTCCCTCTCTTACTTCTTCTAGTGACCTACGTCTCACCTGTTGGCGCTATATAAGGCTCCATCCTGTCACTTCAACTCCATATTGTTTCAGACTATGGAACAATGCTCTTCTCCAGACTGAGGGACTGACCACCTCAAAACTTTAAGTCTCTTCTGCTTCTATCAACTTTTCTGTACTCGACTGAAGAAGCCTACTGTGTAGGCGAAACGTTTCGAAATAAAGATACCTAACTGTTGCATATGTGTTTTACCTAATAAACATTGTTGCTTGGTGTTACATTCATCATATCTCAAACATTGTAATTTGCTGTGTCCTTCATGATATGTTAAAAAAATGTAGTTTATTTTCTACTATGTGTCTCAATTATTGTATTTTTTTCTGGAAACATTATATCTAAAGCGATGTAATTAGTAGCTTCATTATATCTCAAACGTATCTCATTATATCTTAGATACAGTAGTTTTTAATGTACTTCATTATAAATCAAACACTTGAATTCTGAGTGTATTACATCATAGTTCAAACATTGTAATTTGTGTTTTACTTCATCATATTTCAAAGACTGTATGTTTGTGTGTACTTCATCATATGTCAAACATTGTAAACGTGTGTATTTCATTATATCTCAAACAATTTAGTTTTTCCTTTACTTTTCTCATGTCAGAAACATTATAATTCAGAGTATGCTTCATCATATCTCAAACGCTGTAGGTTTCAATGTGTTTTATCGTATCTTACATTGTAGTTTCGGTTATACCTCATCATAATCTCTCAAACATTGTAGTTCAGAGAGTACGTCACCATCTTATAGAATTTGTAGCATCGAATATACTTCATCATATCTTAAACATTGTAGTTCATCCTGTACCTCATCATATCTTAAACGTTGTAGTTCATCCTGTACCTCATCATATCTTAAACGTTGTAGTTCATCCTGTACCTCATCATATCTTAAACATTGTAGTTCATCCTGTACCTCATCATATCTTAAACGTTGTAGTTCATCCTGTACCTCATCATATCTTAAACGTCGTAGTTCATCCTGTACCTCATCATATCTTAAACGTTGTAGTTCATCCTGTACCTCATCATATCTTAAACGTTGTAGTTCATCCTGTACCTCATATCTTAAACGTCGTAGTTCATCCTGTACCTCATCATATCTTAAACGTTGTAGTTCATCCTGTACCTCATCATATCTTAAACGTCGTAGTTCATCCTGTACCTCATCATATCTTAAACGTTGTAGTTCATCCTGTACCTCATCATATCTTAAACGTTGTAGTTCATCCTGTACCTCATCATATCTTAAACGTTGTAGTTCATCCTGTACCTCATATCTTAAACGTCGTAGTTCATCCTGTACCTCATCATATCTTAAACGTCGTAGTTCATCCTGTACCTCATCATATCTTAAACGTTGTAGTTCATCCTGTACCTCATCATATCTTAAACGTTGTAGTTCATCCTGTACCTCATCATATCTTAAACGTTGTAGTTCATCCTGTACTTCATATCTTAAACGTTGTAGTTCATCCTGTACTTCATATCTTAAACGTTGTAGTTCATCCTGTACTTCATATCTTAAACGTTGTAGTTCATCCTGTACTTCATATCTTAAACGTTGTAGTTCATCCTGTACTTCATATCTTAAACGTTGTAGTTCATCCTGTACTTCATATCTTAAACGTTGTAGTTCATCCTGTACTTCATATCTTAAACGTTGTAGTTCATCCTGTACTTCATATCTTAAACGTTGTAGTTCATCCTGTACCTCATCATATCTTAAACATTGTAGTTCATTATATCTCCAAAAATTATTTCTCTGTTCATTATATCTCAAAATTTTTATTTTTATGTTCATCATATCAATTACATTGTAGTTCGTTGTGTTTTTCATCATAATTCAAACATTCATAATCCTGGAGTATACCTGTAGAGGGATTTTACGGCCCGGTCGGTGACCAGGCTTCATGGTGGATCAGCGTCTGGTCAAGCAGGCTGTTACTACTGGCCGCACGAAAACTGTCGTACGACCAACAGCCTGGCTGGTCAGGTAACTTTCACACACCTTCCACATTTCAAATATTTTCGGACAAATCCCCTCAGTATATTTACCCTCAAACACAGAATTCAAACTTAATGTATTATATCGAAGGAGTTTTGATAATTAACGGTCACTTACACCACACAAACTCGATATTCCCAAAAATATCGCTCAAAGGTGAGATTTTTTCGCCTTGAAAACGTTTATCTTTAAGCGATACAATTTAATAAATGCATCGCTGTCCTAAATGTGTCATTAAAAATAGACTTAACTAGGGACGCTTCATTCAATAGAGTACGTGACTAGACTTAACTAGGGACGCTTCATTCAATAGTGTAGGTGACTAGACTTAACTAGGGACGCTTCATTCAATAGTGTAGGTGACTAGACTTAACTAGGGACGCTTCATTCAATAGTGTAGGTGACTAGACTTAACTAGGGACGCTTCATTCAATAGAGTACGTGACTAGACTGAACTAGGGACGCTTCATTCACCAGTGTAGATGACTAGACTTAACTAGGGACGATTCATTCATTAGCGTAGGTGATTAGACTTAACTAGGGACGCTTCATTCAATAGAGTACGTGACTAGACTGAACTAGGGACGCTTCATTCACTTGTGTAGGTGACTAGACTTAACTAGGGACGCTTCATTCACTAGTGTAAGTGGCTAGACTGAACTAGGCAAGCTTCATTCACTAGTACATGTGACTAGACTTAACTAGGGACTCTTCATTCATTAGTGTAGGTGACTAGGCTTAACTATTGTCGCTTCATTCACTAGTGTAGGTGACTAGACTTAAGTAGGGACGCTTCATTCACTAGTGTAGGTGATTAGACTGAACTAGGGACGCTTCATTCACTAGTGTAGGTACTAGACTTAACTAGGGAAGTTTCATTCACTAGAGTAGGTGACTAGACTTAAATAGGATTTATTCATTAGCGTAGGTGACTTAACTAAGGACGATTCATTCAATAGAGTACGTGACTAAACTGAACTAGGGACTCTTCAATGAATAGAGTACGTGACTAGATTAAACTAGAGACGCTTCATTCACTATCGTTGGTGACCAGACTTAACTAGGGACGCTTCATTTACTAGTGTAAGTGACCAGTCTTAACTAGGGAAGCTTCTTTCACTAGCGTATGGTGATTGGACTTAACTGGGGACGCTTCATTCGTTAGCGTAGGTGACTTGACTTAACTAAGGACGCTTCATTCAATATTGTAGGTAACTAGACTTAACTAGGGACGATTCATTCATTAGCGTAGGTGACTAGACTTAACTAGGGGTGCTTCATTCAATAGAGTACGTGACTAAACTGAACTAGGGACGCTTCATTCACTAGCGTAGGTGACTAGACTTAACTACGGACGCTTCATTGAATAGAGTACGTTACTAGATTAAAGTAGGGACGCTTCATTCGCTATTGTAGGTGACCAGACTTAACTAGGGACGCTTCATTCACTAGCGTAGGTGACTAGACTTAACTAGGGACGCTTCATTGAATAGATTACGTGACTAGA